GGGAAAGGAGTAGGGAGGACAACAACAGAAGGCATTAAAAAGCCTCCATATAATAAAACCCTAAAACTTCCCAATGCTGAGCACAACCTCATACATGGCCAAGACAAGGTGTGAGCAGGGAACAGTAATTCCCTATTTCTCACCTCACAGGAAAACAAGTTCCATGAAGCCCGAAAACAAGAAACCATTATGGCATTAAGCACGTCATTGAACTGTGCAACTCATGATGACAGGATATTATAGGGATCAAAAGTATAAACAGATTTAAAATCAAATTATACAAATTTATGGTGGATAAAGGAGTTGTGGACCACTCCGTGAGCAGCTACTGAACGTAACCCCCCCAATCTCCTTTCCAGCACAGAGATTTCCTATGCTGCTGATACAAAAAGATACGAGGAAATCTTCTCAGCTAAAAATCATTTCACCCTCTACCTGCCTTACCGAGCAATGGCTCGCAGCTGTTACTGCATACAAATACGAAGCAGAACGGATTGGACTAGAGGTTATTCTCATTGCCCTATGGGTTCACCTACTTGGTTTTCGAGATGTTTGGAGAGATCCCTGCTTCGTGAGAAATGCTATCGCACAACCGCTACTGTTACAAGCGTTACCACCGCCAAAATACGGAGCAAAATGGGTCAGACTAAAGGTTATTCTCATCACCCTGTTGCTTATCTGCTTAGATTTCAAGGTATTCGAAGGAGAATTCAGTATAAGAAGAAGTGCCACCATTCAACTCGTATTACTACAAGCATTTCTGGTAGCAGCATCTACAATGAAGCCTGCCTTACATTTAAGACCATACAACTATGTTTAAATGGTCATATTTTTGCCAAATTAAGTCTGGACTAAAATTTTCCCTACCAGATGGCAGACTTTCTCTGGAAATCTTTAGAAAAAAAAACAACTTCAGCTGTTCCCCAGAACAAAACTAGAAGAACACGCTTTCAGCCGTGTATGTTAACTCTTCTACAATCACTGCTTTAACGCTGAAGTTTCACAGGGTGGGCTGAGAACATCCCATTTGGTCTCCTCAAAACAATGGATGAAATAAGAAGTCTGAAAATTAATCTTCTCGTGTTCCAAGGGAGTTAGAGAGTTGAAATGCCGCGATGCCATGCCCAGCCTTGCTCTGCCCTTGAGCAGCCCACGAGCACCGAGTGGCCTCTGCCCCGTCCTCAACCTACCCGAGCAGTTTAGGGGAAATACAACCGTGGCAAAAAAAGGGGAAAAAAATTACAATTTAGCGATAAAGCACATTTTTAGCACCACACTATGCTCTCCTCCAAAACCTGAGAAAATAACCAAAGACTTCCAAGGCTTAAATTCTCTGAATTGTGCACGCACAGTTGCAATACAAAGTAATAAACCAATTCCTACCCTTCTCCACCATCTGTTCCACACTGAGGCCGGTGACACACCATGGTTACCCATTACACCATTAGTACAGCTTTTCCATCAACAGAAGTAGGAAAATCCTACTTCTACCTTTGAGCCAAGCAAGATTTTCTTTACAAAACTTACTGTAGTTCCTTGGGAGCCATGGGAACTGGGGGAATAGTTTTTAAAGGGAGAGATAAGAGTTTACAAAAGTTATAAAGTCAAAAGAAAGGGCAAAGTGACCAAGCTTATTTCACACAAACTTCCAAAAGTATTTTGTAAATAGTCTGTTTAGAATCATAACACATATGCCCATAATTATGAGCAATTTCCTTCTCTGAAGACAAAGAGATGTTCAATGACAAGAGGGAAAAAGCGAACGATACGGAAAAAAAACAGGGGGAAAAAAAACCCTGTTTATAAAGAACTTTCTCAGCCAACTGTAGGTAACAAAATTGCCCACTTAGCAGCTTGCATTTTAAGGGCACAGTAAGACTCAAAGCGTAACTCAACCACATTTCTTCCTTCTGACAGAGAGGTCCTGTTGGGAAAATCTGTCCACTTTCTCTGCTGCCCGGCAATGGGACGTCGGTAAGTAACGCCAGCAGCCCCTCCACCTACCAGCAGGCTTAGAAAAGCTGGTCGATCTGCAAACTTATTTTCATAGCAATATATTCCTACTTTCTTGCACTTCAGGAGGCTGGCATCTTCAACGCAGTAATACTCCCTGCTAGTAACAGGCAGTCGTGAGAGCGGTAAGAACAAGAAAACTCGCTTCACACACGGCCGCTGGAAATCGCAGTGGCTATTGTAGTCATGTACAAACTACACAACCTTGTGTAAAAACCTCATTTCCTCACAGGGACAACATTAACATCAGAGGCATCAATCTGAAAAAGAGCAGCAGCTGCAACATCACTTCCAGTGGACTTTAATGATAAGAACAGATAAATACACCTGCAAAATCACCATAAGGGAGAGTAACTATCTAGTCTTGTTCTTGCAGTTTGAATAAAGATGACATTTTTGGTTTAAGAGAACAAAGCTATTGTTTTAATGCTGCTTCCAATTTTTTTTTAAAGTAGTACTGAATTTGGAAGTAACAATGGCACCATAAGAAACATTCATTTCATCAAAGAAAAAAAAATCAAAAGTAATAGGAACAGATGCCTGCTGAATGTGAACACGTTGCAAAGCTTTAGTATTAAAATGCCCAGTATTTCTACCCTTTATTTAGAAGCATAAATATGTTCAGCAAGTGGGAGAAAATATCCTACATATGGAGAAAAAGGAGGCTTATTACATAAATGGCAGTTTAAAAAAAATTCAGTTCTGTTATTTCATCTCACAAACACATTTTGTAGAAAGGCATTGGCATAATACTGTAAGATACCCTTTATTTCGATCACTAGATCAGTTTATAATTCAATTGAGTAATAAAAACAGTAGAACAAAGTGCCAAAGCCTTAAAATCAGCAGCAATAATTCTAAATTTATGTTACAGTTAAAAAAGATCTCAAATCCAAAACTAATGGGTCACAATTTAGGAGTAGTTTTGTCTTTATAAACAAGGCAATGTAAAACTTGACTGGAGTTAAACATCCGAGGGAAACAGGCTCTACAGCCTTACAACCACCACAGGGAACTGCAAACGCAGCATCTCTTCTACAGAAAACTCTAAGGAATCTGTTCATTGTTTATGGTCCTTATTCCCTAAAGAATGCAAAAATCCTGATAATTAAAAGATAAGCTTACCAATAACACACATGTGGGTTTTTTTTTTTTAATTCTGCCGTTGAGAATTGCATTAACACCAATAGTAGTCCAAGTAACACACCATGAGTAAGCACAACTGTCGCACTATTGCTGGAGTGATTCAGGCTCAGCAGTACTCACGCAAAATTCTCTGAACGCATTGAATACGGCATTTTGATTTTACTACTTGAAAAAGAATTTGTGCTGTAGAGCAGTTTAGCTTTGAACAACTCGCCTAGATGAACAGAGTAACTCCAAGCCCTAAATTGTACAAACATCTTCACTATTAACAACAAAATACGGACAGGAGCTTTTATACATGCCAGGGAACCAGGCAAGGCAAAAAATACTAAATCCCTATTACCTACCAGAATATCAAGCAAGGAAATAGACGAACCAGAGGTTTTATTATAGTTTACTTATAAGTATCACAATAGTGTTCAACAGTAAAGATTTAAACTACAAATGACAAGAAAACAAACACCGAGTTAAACAGTGGCATTTCAGTTAGTCTTCTCTGTCCCTCCTCCCCTATGTGTTTTCCTGAAGTTTAGCACAACAAGACCATGGACACACTCCACCCGTAGATTTGAGAAGGAAGGAAGAACTTAGCAAAACACACAGCTATAGGTTAGAGTGTGAACATAAAACACTTATGACAGCAAATTATAACATTCAGGAGACTTGGCATTTTCACTTTGCGGCATCGTCCCTTGCCTCCTCCCCCAAGTCACAGCAGTGTTATTTTCTTGGTTTTGTTTTTAAATCAGATTTTCAAACAAATTAAGATCACCCTAGTTACACATGACACCCAGTGCAGTCTATTGGAAGAAGTAGTAATTCAGTTCTGTGGAAGCACACGAATACACAAACGCAATTTCTGAAGCTGAAAGATTTTATACATTTATACTAAATGCCCATGCCGTGTACATAGCAAACACTTAAATACACCCCAAAACAATACACCATTTTCTAGAAAGCACAGCAAGATGAGGACCGACTGGTACTCATCCAAATGATGACTTTGAAGAATAGAATTAACCTCTGTTTCCTCTTCCAACACCACATTCCTGGGACCAAATAGTCTTGCCAGCATAAGATATTTATACCAGGCTTTCTATTTGGTTTTGCATTTTGTACCTATTAACTACCAGCCCAGAAAGTGGGTGTGGTGGAGAACCAAGTGACAAAGGACACAAAAGAGGCTGAGGTTCCCAGTGCCACCTTGGCATTGGTTTTCACATCACAGTCCACTCACACAACTACCACGTCCCCAAGGCTAGCAGCATGCTCCTGGTGAAAGGTAGTAGAGGAAATCCGAATTAGGGACGACCTCAACAAACGGGACACCCACACCAGTCCACACGACCAGGTGGGCTGCATTCAAGGGTGCTTAACAGCACTGACAAATGTCATTGCAAGGCTACTATCATCTGCAAAAGGTCATGGTGATCATCACAGATTCCCAAAGATTAGAGAAGGGCAAATATCAAGACCCTCTTCGAGAAGGGCAAAAAGGTTCAATGACATTATAGGATAATCAGCCTAAACTCAATCCTTGAAAAGGTTATGCAACAAACCCTCCTGGGAAGCTACTTTCAGGCCCATGAAGGAAAAGAAATGGCTGGGAACAGCTGGCAAGGATTTTCCAAGGATGAGTTGTGCCTTATCAACCTGATAGTCCTACACAATGCGAGGACTGACTCTACGGAGAATGGAAAAGCACTGGATGTTACCTTGGCCTTAGCAAAACTTGTGACATGATCTCATGGTGTATTCATAGCCAAATTAGAGAGTTCGGATGGCTGAACTACAGAACAGCTGAAAAAAATCGATTCCACTGCCAGACTTAATTGCTTGTAATCAATGGTACAGATTCAACCAGCTGCCAGTTACTAGTGCATCCCTTCGGGGCACATACTGGGCCTGATACAACATCTTCATTAATAAATGGACAACAGGATGGGAGGCATCCTCAGCAAATCTACAGATGATGCTAAATTGGGGACAATAGTTGATGCACCGAGGAACCAAGCTGTCATTTGGACAGACTTCAACAGACAGGAAGAATGGGCATACAAGAACTTCGGGAAGTTCAAAGACAAGTGCAAAGACCTGTCTCTAGCTTGGAATAACCGCACGCAACTGGACACACTGCCAAGTGGGTCAAAAGCAGCCTCACAGAGCAAGACCGGGGGTTCCTGGTGGACAAACTGAGTGCGACACAGCAGTGTGCCCCGTGGCAAAGGCAGCCAGCCAAATCTTGGGCTGTATTAGCAAGAGCATACCCCAGCAGGCTGAGAAAGGTGATTATTTCCTTATATTCAGCACTATGAAATGACATCTGGGAGCTCCATACTCAGTTTTAGGCTCTCCAGTACAAGGCAGACACTGACGTACCGAGCAAATGCGGCAGAGCAGCAGGAGTCCAAAGTACAGGACACGGCAGGAGAGGCTGAGCGAGCCCGGTTTGCTCAGCCTTCAGAGAGGGCTGAGGAGGGGTCCTGTCACTGCCTTCGGTTAGCTAGGGGGGTACAGGGAAGGAGTCACTTGGGGGTGCCCAGCAAACTGATGAGAGGCAGCAGTCACAAGTGGCAAAAAGAGAAATTCCCATTAGATAGCAAGAAGAAAAAAAAAACAACATGGCTCGTCAAAATGTTGAAGAGACTCGACAGTTCTCCATGCTCAGAGATACTTAAAACTCAGTTGGGTTTTAAATAGCCCTGAGCAGTCTGAGCTAATTTCGGAGTTGGTCCTGCTTTGAGTGGAAGGTTGAACCAGGTGCCTTCAAGACATCCCTTCCAACCTGAAGTATTCTGTGTGGGACTGTAAAATAAACTACATCGTTTACTACTCATCTGAGACTGTAAGGAGTTTCACAGCTGTCTAGTACATTCATCATATATTTTCAAGACATACAGCTAATTCCTAATACTGTTTTCCAAGCCTGACAACATTTCCAAAACTTAGCTAGAGAAGAAACCGGGCAATTCTGGGTGCACACATACAAAACTTTGAGGACCATTTACTATCGAGAGATTTGAAACTTTTCATTGTCAATGTATTTTAGATTAGTGCAAGGATACAACTTTGAGTTTCATCTCTTACTGGAATAGTAATCTTTATTCAATATTTAGAGCTTGTTCTACTATTTGCAACGTGTGCAGTGGTAACTGTCTCTTAAAAAAGGAAATAATTCTATGGCTCATTGTAAAACTAAAGCAATGCACAGAGACTGCTACTTGTAAGCAGCATAAAAAAGAAACCCAAAGGTTACATTTTTGTGAAA